CCGGGAGCCGCGAGTTCGGTTTTCGATTTCCCGCCCCACTTTCCACCCCACCCTGCGGAAGCCCGAGGCCCTGTTGCCAACCAGGTGGCTGGGACCCGTGGGTCCCATCGCAGAGTGACTACGCTGGCCGGGCCCTCTGCAAACTTTGCCCCCCCCTTCCCTTTAGAACAGGAAAAATGCCATCCCCAGGCCAACTCGTAGCCTTTATCTTCTTCCGTAGCATCTACTCCAGACCACTAATTCAAAATTGTGTTTTTTAAAGCACCTAAATTGTGCTAGACACTGGGGACAGAGAAATAATAAGCCATGATGCCTACCCTCAACGAGCTCAGTCCGTGGGGAAGACAAACATATAAGTAGATCAATTACAATACACCCCAATGAGATCAAAGAAATTAATTGGGGAAGAGGCAGCCGATTACTATGTGTCAGGCATTCTGCTAATCCGAAGGATACAATCTTAGGAGAAAGATAAATCGGCCCTGGGAAACGCTTGCAACCATCAGGGCTGACAGCTACTGTGTCTGCGGCTGTCACTGTAACCTGAGGCAAAACTAGGGGGCGCAAGTACGAAGAGAAACGAGTTGTTTACATTACATAGTCTGAAAGTATCTCCCGACGAGATAACTTAGTATTTCAAAGGGCGAAATAGAAACTTTACGGTCGGAAAACATGGCCGACACCCTCCTAACTCTGATGAATGTAAGCATCCTTCTGTATTAAACAAATGGGCGTCATATGCCTCCTGATGAGGTGCTAAGAAAAACACTAACCAATTTTGTAGTATTCATCATGCCCAAATTCGCATAACCTGAATTTAATCACGAGGGAACATCAGACAAGCCCATATTAAGGGACAGTCTACAAAATTACTGGCTTGCACTCTTCAAAATCATCAAGGTCACTAAAGACAAAGAGAGATTGAGGAACTCTTCCAGATTAATGAAAACAACAGAACAACTGATCCCCATCCAGAAAAAAAAAATTTTTTTTTTTTGCTGAAAAGGGCATTCTTGGGACAGTTGACCAAATTTAAATATCTGTAGATTAAGTAATAATATTGTATCAATGTTAATTTCTTGAGTTTAATACTCGTTTGGTGGTTATGTGAAAGTCCTTATTTAAGAAAATATGAAGTATTTAGAGATAATGGGGAACCATGTTGCAACTTTAAAATATTTCAGAAAAAAATGATAGGATGATGAGGCAAATGTAAAATATTAACATTTTAGGAATCTGGGTGAAGGGCTGACAGATTCTCTGTTCTATTTGTGCAACTTTTCAAAATAAAGAGGTTTTTAAAATACATGTTTGGCTGAAAACTTAGAAAATACAGACAAATGAAATGAAGAAATCCTACCACACATATATTAATGTATGAACTTTAGAACTAATATCTAAATTTGGCAAGTTTTACCAAATGGACCAGGTTTATTTGCACTGAAAAACTATTCAGGGGATAGGCTGTATTTAGAATCAGTTGGGGAAAATGCTACATTGTTTATGATTGTTTTTCATCAGCTATATCTAGTCTAATGTCCTGTCTGATTCTGAAATTCTAAAGCCACCCATTAGAAAATATACACCGTTCAGTTTCAGTGACATCTCAAAAAAAATCTTTTGCCACTTCAAGGAGGTTCAGGGATATGAGTTCCCTCTGATCTTTTCATTTTTCTTATTATGAAATATTCTTAAAGTGAACAGAATGGTATAGCGAATCTTCATTGTACCATCATCCTCCCTAAAGAGTTTGAAATCATTGTTACAGGATGGCCTCTGTGATACAAGAAGAACTATCCTGCTGCTTATGTATACTTCACTGTATAATCTACAGCAGTGGGCACTATCCACATTTGGGATCAGATAATTCTTTGCAGAAGGCAGGGGGAATCCAGTGCACTGTAGGATGTTTAGCAACATCCCTAGCCTGGACCCACTAGATGTCGGTAGCACCTCCCACACCAGTTGTTACAACAGTATCTCCAGACATTGCTAAATGTCTCCTGGAGTGTAAAATAGCCCCCTGTTGAGAGCCACTGAGCTATAATATTCTGCTGTATTGTGGCTTACCTTGCCACTGTATCACAGTGATTTCTTCTTCCAAACACTGAACTGTGTGCAGTATGCATACTACTCAGTATGCCACAAATGTGGTATGACCTGACTGCAGTGATGCCCTTTGAGGCCTTGCTCTTCCCCTCTCCCAGAGCCTGAAGAACTATTTTTACATGGTACGATAACTCCTTTAGGAATTGCTCACAGCTAATTGCTTTTTGCTCCATAAGATTGCAAAGCTATCATATCTTTCGCATCCTTGTTGGCTTGCCTTTTCTTTGCTATCAGCATCTGGTATTGTCTCAGCAGCTGGGGGTACTGTTCCCTGATGATTTCACTGGCTCACAGGTACCAAAGGACTAGGCAGGGACTGAGGTCTGTGGTGAAGGCTAGGGATTGGGTAGTTTCAATATTGACAGCCTGATGCATGGAGTGATTGGTTGATTCTAGGTAATTGTAAGGTCAAGCAATCTTTTTATTATCTCAGTGACAACAGATAATGGGACCAAGAAGGAAGTACATAATAGCAAAACAAGACAAAATAAATAAAATAAATAATGAATGTGAAAGCCATACACTTCGTGGGACTGTCCCGTGAATGCTGAGTATTGGTAATGGGTTTTTATTAACTAAAGACTTAGTTATGTTAAATATACATATTAAATTTCTAGGATAACCACTACAAATATATAAGGATATTATATATCTTCCAAACTATCTGAGGGGGAAAAAAATTGAAAGAGAAAGAGGAAAAAAATCAATCCCCAAAAGGCAAGAAAGGTAGGGAAATTTTTTGGAAAAGTGGAACAGAGAGAATAGAGGAAGAAGTTTAAGCCTACCAATTTAAATTTAAATATATCAAAAATTGCATGAAATGTAAATGAACTAAATGCTCCAGTTAAAGGTAAAGATTATCAGTCTGGGTTTAAAGAAGGCTAGCTTTTTTTTTTTTTTTTTGCGGTACGCGGGCCTCTCACTGCTGTGGCCTCTCCCGTTGCGGAGCACAGGCTCCGGACGCGCAGGCTCAGCGGCCATGGCCGCTCCGCGGCATGTGGGATCTTCCCAAACCGGGGCACGAACCTGTATCCCCTGCATCAGCAGGCGGACTCTCAACCACTGCACCACCAGGGAAGCCCAAAGGCTAGCTATTTTTAAGAGACATCTCTAAAACACAGGGACACAGAAAGTTTGAAAGTAAAAACAATGGGGAAAATACACCAGGCAAATACTAAGATCAACAAAAATTAAGCTGTTATAGCTAGATTAATATCAGGCAAACTAGACTTTAAGGGAAAAAAAATTACCAAATTTAAAGACGGTTACTATATATTGATAAAAATTTCAAGTCACCAAGAAAATGTAACCATTCTAATCTTGAATGTAATCAACCACTTTGAAATATATGAAGCATGTTACAGAACTACAAAGAGAAATAGACAAATCTACTACCACAGTGAGTCTTTAATTCATCTCTCCTAGATATTGATAGATGAAACAGACAAAAAAGAATCTGTAAAGATGTAGAAAATTTGAACATCAAATGAACAAGTTTGATCTAGTAGATATACATAGAACACTGTACCTAGCAACTGGAAAATAAATATCCTTTATAATAACACATGAATGGGGCACCATGTACAGATTGCACACTGATCAAAAGCACCTAGCCAGAGGGACAAGTGGGGATCAAAAATTTATCCCATGCTCCACTTGCCAGACCACATGCTCAGGTGTGCTGCTGTATCCACCTGGAAGAAAGGGCACAGTTTCCTAATTCACATAAAGGCAATATGTCATAAAGTGGTGGTCCAGCACATGGAACGTTTATGAAAGTTAAACATATACTAGATTTAAAAAAGCAAATGACAACAAATTTTAAAGAATCCGTCTCATATAGTTCACATTTACTGACCACAGTGCAATTAAATTGGAAATCAATAACAAAAAGATAAAGAAAACCCCTATGTGTGAAAATGTAAAAACATACTTTGAAGTAAATCACAGGTCAAGGAAAAAAGTCATACTAAAAATTAGAAAATATTTAGAACAGAGCAATAATGAAAATATTACATATCAAAACTAATGAAAAAATGATGCATTGCAGCTAAAGTGGTATTTAGAAAGAAATTTATGCTCTTCAACCTTTGTATTATTAAAGAAACAAGGCTGGAAATTAAAAAGCTAAGCATCTAATTTAAGAAGTTCCAAAAAACAATACAGAATAAATGAAAGAAAGCAGAAATAATGACATTTTTAAATAGAAAATATTAATAAAAAGAAACTATCCAAAAAAAAACAATAGAACCCAAAATTGTTTGGTTGAAAAGTCTAATAAGACTGACAAACCTCTGGCAAGAATGATTATAAAAAAAAGAGAGAGAGGTACATATAAACAAATATTAGGGATTCTATCAGTTGGGCTCATGACAGGAGACAGGAACCATGCACAGGAGTGTGGGCAGGATTAAGGAAAACCAAAAATGGATGGTGAAGCACCTCAGGGCCAGTGATACTGGGAGACATTAGCAGCCCTAAGCCTGAAGGGGCAAGCGGAGGGAGTGGTTCCCAAAAACTAAGGAAATAAGGAAAAATGAAATAGTAAGGAAAGGAACATTCAACAGGAACTGTGGCCTTCTGTAGAAGAATAACTGCCAACTCACATCCCAGCAGGGAGGAGGCTGGGGAATAAATACCCTGACCTTTCTCTCCTTTTACCATTTTATCTCCTGCTGATACCTCCCATTGGCTGATGACTACTGCAAGCCATAATTCAAGGGAGCCTGGAAAATGCAG